TATATTTTGGTTTTCCTCCTACTTTTTTTGTTATTCATTCTCAGTCTTCTTTGCTGGGTTTTCTTCTTTTTTTTTAAAGTATATATATTTTTTATTTATTTGAGAGAGGAAGGGAGAGAGAGACAGAAACATCAATGATTAGAGAGAATCATTGATTGGCTACCTCCTGCACATCCCCTACTGGGGATTGAGCCCGCAACCCGGGCATGTGCCCTTGACTAGAATCTAACCTGGGACTCTTCAGTCCACAGGCCTATGCTTTATCCACTGAGCTAAAACGGCTAGGGCTTCTTCTTCTTCCTGACTTTTAATATAGGAGAATTTCAGGGGCCAGCTCTTTGTTCTCTTCTCTATCTGCACTCATTCCTTGGTAATCTTATCCAACCTAATAGCTTTAATACCAACTTTATGCTAAGGATTCCCAAATTAAATCCCCATCCCAGTCCTCTTTCCCAAACTCCAGATTCATATTTTCAATTGCTTACTTACATCTCCACTAGCATGGCCAGCAGACATCTCAAACTTGACATGTATGAGATTGGCCTATGGATCTTTGCTCCATCTCCAAAACCTCTACTACCCATTCTTTTCTCCATATTAGGTGATGGCTAATCCATCCTTTCAGTATCTGAGGCCAAACATCTTGGACTCATACTCTACTCCTTTCTCAGACTTCACTTTAATGGATTGACTTCTAGCTTTCAGTGATAAAAATCTGACCACCTCTCATCGCCTCTACTGCTAACATGTTGAACTGAGCCACCATCATCTCATTCTTGAACTATTCAAATAGCTTCATAATATTTCCCATTTTCTTGTCCCTTATGTAATTATTCTGTTCGTTATCCCTTTAGCAATTATTAAATACAGCAAAATTTGAAGTAGAGCATTTGGTGTGTCCTGATGTGAAACAATATGAAATACAGGGCACCATTTATAAAATATTCTTGCCCCAGATGATTAATTTGTGTCAGTTGAAGGTTATACAGTTAATGGTTCCAGGAGATAGCAGGATTGGGAAAATAAGTTAAATGACACCCAAAGGAGTTTATAAAGGAAATAAAGAATGCAGAACATTTTGATAGCTGGCCTGGTCTCTTAAAAGAGTCAGTGCTATGAGGAGAAAAAAAAAACAGTTTGGGAAAGTCTTCAGATTAATATTTTTTAAAAGACTTGACAAATGCTGTTCTCTTTGATTGAATTCTAGATCAAAATTTTTTTTTCTGAGACAGTTGGACAATTGGGGAAATTTGAATATGGACTGGATATTAGTTGACATTAAGTAATTGTTAATTTTCTTAGATGTGAAAATGGTATTGTGATTATGTTATAGAAACGCTTAATTTTAGGGGAGGGATGCCACAGTATTTAGGAGTATATTGTCTTGATGTCTGATTTACTTTGAATGGTTCAGAGAGAGAGGGAGAAAGTAATTGTGGCATAATGTTAACTTTTGAATCTAAATAGTAGATATTTGGACATTCTTGGTATTATACCTTTCATTTGTATGTATGTTTAGAATTTTTTATACTAAAACAATAAAAATATAAAAGTCAGATGTTTTCATGCTTCTATTAAAACCCTGTATTGACTTCCCATTTTGTAAGATGAAGACCTTACAATTGCCTGGAAGGCTCTATATAATTTGTTCCTCATCCTCCTCATTTTTCTTATTTTATCTCCTACTACTCTTTCCCCTACATTCTGTACTTTAATCATACTAGACAATCTCATGTTAAGGCCTTTGCTTTAGCTCTTTCTGGAGATCTTTCCTTCTACATTTTCCCTTGGCTAATTCTTTCTTTTCCTGCAAGTACTTACTCAGATTTCACCTTTTCCATGAGACCTATCTGAACTATTATTTTACTTTCCCAATTTTTCTTACCCTGCTCTTACTTTTTTTTCCAAGTACTCATCACTTTCTAATAACTTATCATTGTTTTATATTTATTGTTTATTGTCCATGTCCCTCACAGGATAGGGACTAGTCTGAGTCAGATGAGTCATTTTCCTTGGGTGCAGGAGGTTGGCCAGCCGGCCCCAATCCCCATCGGGCCAGTTTACTGGCCACAGTGGGCATCATAGTACCAGTCGTTATAGCATTCCGGTCGCTGGCTTTTTATATATTTAGATTATTACTTTTAAATTAAACTAATTGCAAATGTATGGAAACATTATAAGAATAGTACAAAGAACTTCCATATACCTTTTAACTTCATCTAGATTCAACATTTGTTAACATTTTACAATATTTGTTTTTTCACCTACTTCTTTTCTGAATTAAATTGCAGACATCATACTCCTTTCTCCTTAAACATTTCTGCCTGTCTTCTATGAACAAGAATTTTCTTTTACCAACCACAATACAATGATCAAATTCAGGAAATGTAGCATTGATGCAATATGTAGAGTCCATATTTTATTTCTGTCAATTATTCCAATAATATTCTTTGTTTCCTAGTGCAGAATCCAATCCAGATTCACATATCAAATTTAGTTGTCATGTCCCTTTAATCTGGAACAGTTCCCCAGATTTTCTCTGCCTTTCATGATTTTGAGAGTGGTTCTGTAAACTATCCCTCTATGTGGGTATGATGTTTCCTCTGGATTATTCTCCCCCGCACCACACATGTTACAGACATCTCTTTTTCTGCCTCCTTTAGTTCTATCAATTGCCAAAAATAGACACTTGTTTTCATGGGTGTATTGTTCACAACAGAATAAGCTTCTTTTATATTTTTTGTTTACATTGTTGAATCATATTACTTTAGTTTTTCATGGATCGATACTGAATAATTTCAATAATTTAGAATTATATAAGAACAACAAATGCATTCATTGAAAAGACTTAAATTTACAGTTGGGATGAATTCTTTATCATTGAGTAAATACTTAAAAATAACTCTATACGGCAAAATACAAATCATGGACTTATAAACCATTATATGTAGTGTAAATTCGGCATTAATTATCAATTACATCTTTCTAAAGCATCTATAAAACTTTAGCATGGAGAAATGAGGGCACTGTTTCTGTTTGTGAGGATTTTCCTTTATCGTGCTGTCTTGATGTTGACCTTTCATGCTGTTTTTTTCCCCTAATAGCTCACTGTTGGATTATATGGAGACTTGTGAGTACATAAAGTGAGAAGGTAAAGAACTAATTGTTAGAGAAAGATGAAACAACCTGAGAACAAAGGGGTTATTAAGTAAGTTTAATTTCAGGGAAGGTGGGATGGGATAGGCATGGGTGGAAGGATTATGCTAAATATAGAAACAGACCTACATGAAACACACAGGAATATAATGTGCTAATTATGTAACAAAACATTCACCTCATGGTTCTCACAGTTACAGTATTTTCATCCCTGTCAATATGGGTAACTGTTAGCTTATAAACTCTGAACATCATAATGCCATTTATTCATATTTGGAATATGGCCCTAGCTGGCTTGGCTCAGTGCATAGAGCATCAGCCTGGGGACTGAAGGGTCACGGGTTTGATTCTGGTCAAGGGCATATGCCTGGGTTGTGGGCTTGATCCCCAGTAGGGGGCATGCAGGAGACAACTGATCAATGATTCTTTCTCATCATTGATGTTTCTCTCTCTCTCTCCCTCTCCCTTCCTCTCTGAAATCAATAAAAAATATATTTAAAAAATATTTGGAATATGTGTTAAGCTCAAAGTCTGTTGCCCTTAATCATATACATATTTTTATATATTTTTTCCTTTATTTTATTTTTTCATCACCATTTATCCCCCCTACATTTTACTATTTTCTTTATTTTTCATATTCTTTGCCCCTTTTATTTCTATTCTTCATTATCCTTACTGTGTATTTGGTCGTATCTGTTCTTGGATAATTGCTAATTTATTTCTGAGACAGTTTTGTTTTTTTCCTGTAATTTCTTCTGCTTGGCCAACTTCCATTTTACATATTTCTATTATTTTTCCATTTTTATTCTGAATTATTAATTTATTATTTATGATATTTGTTAATATCTGCAAAAGCTTGCTTAATTATAATTTATTTAAATTAGGAGTGTTAAGTTTTTCTCTGCTTTATGGCTACCTGTTTTATTTTGTTTTGGTTTAGTTATCAAGTTTGACGGTTTTAAAAAATTAGCTGGATGCTAGATTGTTTTGTGGATGTTGTTCACATTTACTCGTGTTGGATTTTCTTTATCAGTAATAACAGGTGTTCTTATAGAGAGGAACAGAGTGGCATTTTGGTGGCTTTTCTGCTTAGGTTATGAGCGCCCTCTTCTGTTGATATGGCAAAATGTAGTTGGGGGGAAACTTCCTTGGGTGGTTTTATTTTTTTCTTTCTTCTTTTTTTCATTTATTAAAATAATTAATTAATTAATTATTGTTGGGAAGTATTACATATGTCCCTCTTTCTCTCCATTGACCTCTTCCAGCCCACTCCCGTCCCCCGTCCCAGGCCTTCACCACCCTAATGTCTATGTCCATGGGTTATGCTGTATTTTGTTTTTTGTTTTCTCTCTACTAACTTTATTCCAAAGAGCTCTTATCTTGGCCACTTTCTTATTATCTCTTACCATCTAGGCCCAAAGGAATATCTCTCATTTTCAAAACATTTTCCTCTCAGAAGCTATGTCTTCCCATGATTACCACCTCTAGCCCCCTACATTCTATAAGCCCCTTTCTTCTACATTCCTCATAGAAAGTGTTCTAATTTACCAGATCAGATCTTACTATTATTTCTGTACTGCAAGGGAGTGGCCTCTTATTCCAGACAAAACTATGGCTGATGTTTACTGTGTTGTCTGCTCATAGTTGTCAACTGATGGTCATTGGCATCAGTTCAATGCCAACAGGAATCTCCAATTTGGGCTGTGGTAAGAAGGAAACTTTATTCAGAGCAAAACAGCTCAATTGTGATATATCAGGGCTGTATCCTGGGGACAGGTCTCTGTCCAAGTAGACAGCTTTGCTCTGCTCCTTGCTGTTCCACTCTGCTCTGCTCTGTTCCTTGCCAGTCTGCTCTGCCCTGTGTTGGTCTGTTTTGCTTTGCGCTGGTGCGACATCTTCTGTTTTAGCTCAGCCAAGAAAACAGCTTCATTCAGTCTTTAGCACTTTCCTGATTGGTGAGAATGGAGCTGCTGTGATTGGTCTGTGAAGATGTTGGGGGCGGGGAGGGGGAGCTGCGGGCAGGGGGAGAGAGAAAGAGAATATAGCTGAGCATCTCTGATTGGATGGGGAAAGCCTCAGTCCATTGGTTGAAATAGGATTCCAGGAACTCCCTTAAAAGGGCTGGCTCAGATGGCAGAAACAGTGTAGGCAGGCAGTTCAGTGCAGAGGTAGATGGTTCAGTGCAGACTTCTCCATGAAGTGCAGTTTGTGTGAGAGGCCCCTGTGTAGAATTGGCTGCTAGGGCCTGTATTTTTAGAATGTGAGCCCAATTAGTGATTAGGAGCCCTTCTTAATAGGTACCTTCTTTCTCAGGTTCAGGTAGTTCTCTCTAATGTAAAGGGTGTCCCAAAATTCACGCAAGAAGTAATTTTGATAGAAAACACAGGTTTATCATTAAAAATTGTAATTTTTTTTATTGATTCATAAAGTATACAGTATAGGGTTATGTATGGAATAGCATATCGGGTAAATGGCCTCCACGGCTTTGCTGGCACATACCGCACTCTTGTTATTGCCTGAGCAGCCACCTTTTCAAAGAAAAATGGTCCGATGAGGCCTCCAGCCCAAAATCCACACCAAACAGTGACACAGTGTGGATGCATTTGTTTCTCAACAATCACTCGTGGATTTTCTGAACCCCAAATGCGACAATTTTGTCGATTAACCAAGCCATCAAGATGAAAATGAGCCTTATCGAAATTCAGCCACATTTATGCAAAACAGTCATGGAAAATTTCAACAAAAGAGTGCGTATGGCCCTAACCAGTTTGGCTCAGTGGACTCAAGGGTCCCAGGTTCGATTCCGGTCAAGGGCATGTATCTTGGTTGCGGGCAGCTGATCGATGTTTCTCTCTCATCGATGTTTCTAACTCTCCCTTCCTCGCTGTAAAAAATCAATAAAATATGTATATTTTTTAAAAAGAGTGCATATGTGCTAGCAAAGCCGTGGAGGCCATTTACCCGATATGCTATTCCATATATAATCCTATACTGTATACTTTGTGAATCAATAAAAAATTTATTTACTATTGATTTCTGAATAATTTACCTCAAACTTACCTATAAGATTTAGAATTAAGGGGCAGAAAACCTAGCCTGAGTTTGTTGCAACCATATTCAAGTTAGAATAGCATAAGCAGTGCTTCTCAAAGTTCAGTGTGAGACCATCTGGATCTGACTTGATAGGGCTGAGGTGAAGCCTGGGATTCTTCGTTCCCAGGAAGCTCCAGGTGATGTGAATGCCTTGGTCCACAGACTATACATGGAAGAGCAAGGGCTGTGGCACCAGATGATTTTTGAGTTTGAATCCTGGCTGCATCACTAGTTTTATACCTGGAGCAAGTTACTTAACTTCTAGGCATCTCAGTTCGCCCAGCTGTAAAAATGCAGATAGTAATAGTATCTGCCTCGATTCAATTTTTGATAGAATCAAGGAAGTTAATCCATTTAGAAGAGTGCTTGCCACAGAATAACACTATTCTATTGCTTAAGTACCTGTTCAGTTTCTCAGGCCTGGGATTTAAGGGTTTTTTTTATGATTATGTTTTTGTTTTTTACTACCTCTTCACTTGAGAACAGATTTTGAAGCTCCAGCAAAAGATAAAAATATTTTTCTCTCTAATTTTTTTAGAACAGTTTAATCTTATTATGACTATATGCTAATAAATGAAATTATTTGATAGTTTATCTAGCAGTAAATAAGCATGATTATTCAACAGGACTTTTGATCTATATATAGTTAATGTAGTAATCCACTGGAAGTGTTGAAATTAACTTATATTAAAAAGCCACACCTTTATTTAGATGACAATTATGTAATTTTAGATGGGTAAAATGAAATTCAACTTCTAAAGATAATTTGTTTTATAGATGAGAAAACGAGCAATTTCAGTTATATGCATACTGAAAGATGTATCATTTTTATTCTGTGAATTCAGCTTTCAGTATGAAAGAATAAAAATGATACATCTTTATAGCCTGTTAGGTATGTTAATTCAAAACTTTTATTTGTCAAAAAGATTAAATATTTATTTGGTCAGATTTGTTTAAACTTTGTTCTCCTTGGCAATGTTTTATGTAAATCATAAGGTTTATGTTTTTCACAAAATTCTTTAGTATTACAAAGGATTTTTGGAAATATTAGATGTATAAAAGTAAAATGGCGTCTATTTATTTTTGATGGTTTCAAATCTATTGCATATTATTTTGATAATATTATATTTTATAATTTTCATTTTTAAATAGTCTTAAAATTTAATATGACTTTACAATCATAGTTTGGTACAATGAATATATTTACATATAAATAGACATTGTTTAATTTATTCATTGTACTTTAATTGAAAGCAATCTGGAAATATAAAAGAATAGGGATATGACAGAGCTTAATGTCTAAGAATTTAAATTTAGTAATTTGTTTTAGAAATATAAAGACATTAGAAATTCAGCATATTATATGGAAAATGGTTAGTCTTACTCTGCCATAATAATTGTGTAAATAGGAAATGGAATATTCTCATAACAGATGACTGAATCATAATGTATTTCCATTTAGAGGAGAAAAATGTGCAGGGAATGCAGGATCCATGTTAAGTCCAGAGTTCAAGGATGCAGACTTTTAATCTAAGTATTTATAGGAACTAATATACTAGTAAGTGCAACACAGGGTTCTCAATTGCCTTGAGAAAAAGAACAGAGACTTCTGTACATTTAGAAAGGTTCTTTGCACAAACTTTTTTTTTTAGCCTGGTTGGTGTGGCTTAGTGGTTAAGCTTTGATCCATGCACCAACAGGTGGCTGATTTGATTCCGTCAGGACACACGCTAGGGTTGGGAGCTTGATCCCCAGTAGGGGGCATGCAAGAGGCAGCTGATTGATGATGTTTCTCTCTCATCGATGTTTCTATCTCTCTCTCCCTTTCCTTTCCACTCTCTCTAAAAATCAATAAAAACATTTTTTAAAAGACAAGCTTTTAAAAATATTTCTCCCTTAGAAAGAAAAACTACTTGAGAAAACAATGTCTTTAGATAATTAAAATGCAGATAAAGAAAAAGAAAAATCTACCCATGAAAAGAAAACTAGCCAAGAAACAAAGTATAGATGTCCATAATGGAGGAATTTTAATAATTGGAACTTTAAAATTATAATTACAATTATTATTGTAAATAACAATTTACAATAATAATTGTAAATGACAATGGATAGAATCAGGTTCACCAGCAAGTTTTTCCTATTATAAAATACCAGAAATAACCACATTAAAAATTTAGTTGGAAAATAATAGGTAGGTCTAATTTAAAATATTACTAAATTATCTTATTTTTTTTTTAGTATTTTAATCCTTCAAATATATAATTTTTCCCTCTGGAAGTTTGAGTTTAATTCATAAGCCTCAGAGTACATGAGTACTATATGGAGTCAGGGAGCAGGAAAATTATTTCCAGCAGTTTGATGAACCTAAACAAAAGAATGAATTGCAGGATTTAAGTTTAGATTTATTGAAAAAACAAGTATAGAGGAAACTGCTTCTCAATGACTAGGCTTTAAAAAAACCTCTTCTAAGTAAACTTTGCCATTTCAAATTATACATATATAAAACTAGCATTTATTTATAAGCATATCTACACTAATAAAAGACAAACATGCAAATTGACCATACCTTTGCTATGCCTTAACCCATGCCCACCAGCCAATCAGAGCACTATATGCAAAAATAACCCAACCAATATGGCGGCCGGCAGCCACAGAGCTGGAGCAAGCAGGAGGCTTGGTTGCCCCAATGATGGAGGAAGCCAAGCTTCCCGCCTGCCACGGCTGGCTCTGAGCTCCACTCAAAGCAACAAAGTTTCAATTATAGAAGGTAAATAAACCCCAGATACCTGCTTTCAGCCAGCCCAGCCGTGGCCACGGAGCTGAGCTCCTCTCAAGGCTACAAAGTTTCAATTATAGCCCTTCATTCAGACTGGCCAGGCACCCCATTGGGGACCCCCCACCCTAAAGTGGGTGTGGCCAGCCTGAAAATAGCCATCAGCCCCTCCCCCAGGCTGGCCAAACCTCCATGGGGTGAGGGTCCCCACTGGGGCGGGGGGGC